GCGGCGTCGCGCGTCGGCGCGGCCGAGGTCGAGCGCCGCGCGGCGAGCCTGGACCTCGCGGGCCGGGGGCTGGGCGCCTGGGACGCGGCACTCCTCGCGGCGGTCCTCGGCGGCCGCGGCGCGCCCCTCGCGAGCCTCGACGCCTCGGCGAACAAGCTCTGCGGCGTCGACGTCCGCGGCGACGGCGCCTTCGCCCCGGGCGGCCTCGCGGCGCTGCTCCGCGTCTGCGGGACGCGGCCCGCGATCGCGGCGTCGCTCACGGCCCTGTCGCTCTGGGGCAACGAGCTCCGCGCGGCCGGCGGCGCGGCGCTCGGAACGCTCGTCGCGGCGTCGGCGAGCCTCACGTGGCTCGACGCGCGCGACTGCGCCCTCGGCGACGCGGGCGTCGCGCCCCTGGCGGCCGCGCTGGGGGCGACGACGTCGCTGACGTGGCTGAACCTGCGGGAGAACGGCCTCGGCGACGCGGGCGGCTTCGCGCTCAGGGACGCGCTCCTCCGCAACGCGACTCTGACGCGCGTCGACCTCGTCCACAACCCGGCCATGACCGCCGCGAGCGTCCGGGGCCTCTCGGCGCCGGAGCTCCGCAACGTCGCGACGCTCGTCCACGACCTCGTGCCGCCGTCGCCGCTCCGGGCCGCGCGGCGGCGCCGGGCCCGCGCGGGCGCCGCCGCGCCGGAGCCCGCCGCCGACGACGGCTCCGACGGCGACGCGGGCTCCGACGGCGACGGCGGCGCCTCCGTCCGGCGGCGCGCGCGTGCTCGACCTGTCGCACCGGGGCCTGTCCGCGCGCGACGCGGCGCTGGTCGTCGGCGTCTTGAAGGACGTCGACGAGATCGACGCGTCGGGCAACGACCTCGGCGACGCGGGCGTCGTCGCGCTCTGCGAGGCCTTCAAGGACGCGGCCCACGAGCGCCTCGCGCGCCTGAGCCTCGAGGGCACGAACTTCGGGTCCCGGGGCGCGTGCGCTTTGGGCGCGGCGCTCGCGCGCTGGCTCCCGTCGCTGGAGACGCTCGCCCTGCCCGGGGACCTGCCCGTGGGGCTCAAGGGCGCGCGGACCCTCGGCGACGGCCTCGCGGCGCGCGCGCGGCCCCTGGCGACGCTCGACCTCCGCTTCGCCAAGGGGCCGGCGACGTCCCTGCCCGCGGCGGCGCTCCGCGACGGCGACGACGGCTTCGTCGACGTGAGCGACCGGCGCCTGGGCCCCGCGGCGGCGGTCGTCGTCGCGATCCTCCTGGGCAAGAACGCGAGCGTCACGGCCGTGGACGCGAGCGGCAACGGGGAGCTCGCGGCGTCCGACGACGTCGCGAAGCGCTACGGCCTCGACGCGCTCCTCGGGCTGGCCAAGGCGAAGCGGCTCCGGGGGCTCGACCTGCTGCGGTCCCTGGGCTGCGCCGACGCGGCGGCGACCGCGGTCTCGGCCGCGCGCGCGGCGCTGAGCCTCTGCGGGGGCCACGCGCCCGGGCCCTTCGCGCTCCGGGGCTCGCGGCGGGGGCTCGACGACGGCGACGCGCTCCTCGCGGCGCACGAGCTCGCGCGCGCGGGCGGCAGCCTCACGGACCTGAACCTGGGCGGGAACCCGGCCGTCGGCCCGGACGGCGTCGCCGCGATCGCGCGCGCGGCGCGCGTCCAGGCGCGGACGCCGTCGCCGCACAAGCTCACGCGCCTCGACCTCTCGCACGTCGACGTCGGCGGCGGCGCGTCGGCCATCGCGGACGCGCTCCTCGCGGACCTCCACCTCACCGAGCTCAACCTGCGGTTCTCCAAGCTCGACAGCGCCGGCGCCGAGGACATCGCCGAGTGCCTCGGCATGGCGACGAAGCTCACGAAGCTCGACGTCTCCGCCAACGGCCTCTCGCCCGCGGCGAGGCGCGCGCTCGCGGACGCCGCGGACGCGAATCCGAAGCTGCGCGTGCGCTTCTAAGGGCGTGTGTTATGGAGCTCGGGTGCCGCCTCTGGAACTCGCATGAGGCTACTCTCAGGCGAAAGGACACACTTCAGGAGGGACGAAAGCGAAGCGAGATCCCCGAATGTGTCAAGGTCGTCACGTATACCAATGCGGAGACTGGCGTCCAAGAGCTGATAGCGCTGTATGCCGTCTTCATCGAGGTCGAATCCAGACGTGGTAAAACGAACATAGCACATAGGGGTACACAGATCGACGTTGTCTGAAGGAGCTACCTCTGTTTCATCAGTTTTGCGTTTCTTGTCTTTGAGGTAGTCTTGAAATTCATGAGAAGATGTAGCGTACCGTTCAAATCGCTGCTGCGGGATAGCTTCTCCACAAAAACCAAAGATCTCGACGTTGCCGTGGTATTGTGACTCCAAATCGCCCTCCTCCAAATCGCTATGATCGTCGTCGTCGTCGTCATACACTGTGACTTTGGATGGCTCAGAATAATTTTTCCAAAGCTCGACAATCCTCTGGTCGTCGACGACGTAGCACGAGGTCACCACACTGGCAATTTCAGGCGAGTATACTCTTGCGAATGAACTGTCCTTTGCGGGGCCCACCAAAGATCTTCACCATCCTTTTCGCCGTAACCGTCGCCGCCGCCCCACACAAACTCGCCAGCGACATCGTCCACCACGAGGATGACTCTGGGTGGATTCAAGGGACTCGATGGTACACCGTGCCAACGATTGACGCCGAGGCTACCTGCCACGTGACTCCCGCCTCCTCTAGCATGCCGCCACCGCGATTCGTACATCCGACAGAGGTCGCGGCCCGTCCCTTCCAGGAGAGCCGTAGCCAGCTCGGGCGCGGCCGTGCTAAAGCGCTGGCGCCAGACCGAATCGAATGTTTTGGCGCGCGTGAGGTCGCGCAGGTCCTTGCCCGTGGTCTCGAGCGTCAGCAGCGTGTCGACGGCAGAGTGCACCGCGACACCAAGCCAGACATCAGTTGGGAGCCGCGGCGCGCGGGCCTTAAGCGGCCGCTGGGCATCGCCTCCCCAGTCGCTCGCCTCAGTAGGCTCGACCCGGCGTACGCTTTTTGAGAGCGAGCCCGAGCTCATGCTGTCCATGCTTGGCGCGAGCTGGAGCTGAACCAATTAATGCAGTGCAACATAATCAAGTTGTAGCGCTCCGATGGCTCGCGCGATGTTGATTCTTGCTTGGGCTGCCGCTAACGCAGCAATCCAGCTGCAAGACGTGCACACATTGCCAGAGATCATGTCCTTCGAGGACTGGGAAGCCGTGTTTCGCGCTCCGGGCACGTTGAACGCCTATGCGACAGCAGACCTACGATTGCAAAAGCGGGCAGCCTTCGACGCGAGTGTCCAGCGCATTCAGCAGCACAACAGTAACAGCGCGTCGTATCGGCTCGGCGTCAACCAGTTCTCCGACCTCACGGAGAGCGAATTCCGCGCGCTCGTGTCTCGGCCGCGACGCTGGCGCGCCGGCGAAGACGCGGCGCCTCGCTCCGACGACGACGGAGGAGCCGCGACACCGATCGACTGGCGGACGCGCGGCGCGGTGACGCCGGTGAAAAATCAGGGCTCGTGCGGCAGTTGCTGGGCGTTCTCGGCCACCGGCGCTATCGAAGGCGCCTACGCCATCGCGACCGGCGAACTGCGGTCGCTGAGCGAGGAGCAGCTCGTCGAATGCACGCGCGCCTACGGCAACGACGACTGCGGCGGCGGCGACTTCGTCGGAGCCTTCGAATACGTGAAAAACAACTCGGGCATCGACTCGGAACATGACTACCCCTACACCGCGGGCGACGGCTTCGGCGGGAACGCGTGCTGGGGCGCCGCGAGCGGGCGCCGCGTCGCCGCCATCGACGGCTACCGCGCGATCGCAAAGAATTCCACCGCGGCGCTCCTCGCCGCGCTCCAGCGGGGACCCGTCTCCGTCGCCGTCGACAGCACCGTCTGGCAGAGCTACAAATCGGGCACCATCGCCTCGGGCTGCGGCACGGCCCTCGACCACGCGGTGCTCCTCGTCGGCGCGACCGACGAGTATCTGGTCGTCAAGAACAGCTGGGGCCTCGCGTGGGGCATGGCGGGCTACGTGCACCTGGCCATCGACAAAGAGGGGCCGGGGGTTTGCGGCGTGAACATGGCTCCCGCGCAGCCACACACAGCACCCAGTCCCGCGCTGCCGATCCCTCCGCCGACGCCGCCCCCCCACCCGCCGCTCCCCTGCAACTGCAGCGACCTCTGCGAGGCGAACTGCATGTCGCTCTTCGGCATGCGGTGCTGCGGCGACGCGCCGAACCCGCCGATCCTCGGGAACTGCACCTGCGGCGCGCCCGCGTCCTGCCCGTCCTGCGCGCCGCACTAAAGGTTTACACGCGTCGCCGCTTGCCGTCCTGGGCCTGGTCCATGGCCATCTGGACGTCGACGGTGCCGTCCTCGCCGCAGGCCTTGGCGAGCTCCTCGATGGTCACGGTCATGCTCTCGCAGTCGGGCCCGGAGGTCACGCCCGCGAGGTTCGGCCGCGTGAGGCCCGCGCGCGCGTAGCCCGGGTGCGCGTCGGCGAGGTACTGGGCGACCTCGCTCCGCTCCTCCTCGGCGGCGACCTCGTAGGGCACCTGGCCCGCGCCGTTGGGCGCGCCGGGGTCCGCGCCCGCGTCTAAAAGGATCTTCGCCGTCTCGACGTCCTCGCAGACGTGGAGCGGCGTGTCGCCGTCCTCGTCCTTGCAGTTGACGTCGACGGCGACCTGCGCGAGCAGGTAGCGGAGCAGGTCGTGGTGGCCGTAGGAGCTCGCGGCGTGGAGGCACGTGTAGCCCTGCGCGTCGCCCTCGTCGGCGCGGTGCGCGCCCGAGTCGATCATCACGCGCACGATCTCCAGCTGGCCGTCGGACGCCGCCGTCCACACGTTCTGCCCGGCGAAGGTGGCGACCGGCGCCGGGTCCGCGTAGGAGGCCATGCTGGTTGTGCCGCAGCTCCTCGCCCACGGCATCTTTCCCTTCAAGCACCGCGCGTATCTCGCGGGGCAGCGCCGGCGGGCGGGCATGGGCTGTTGATCGAGACGTAGCGACCCGCCGCGGGTAACCGGCGCTCGAGGCGGAGCCACCCAGACACCATGGCCGAGGCGAAGAAGAAGAAGAGCACGAAGGTCGTGGGCCGGCGGGCCATGAAGGCCGCGGACTTCGCGGCGTTGTCCACCGGCGGCGAGCTGCCCATGGACGAGAACGCGAAGATGCGCAAGGAGATCGAGGAGCTCGAGGAGAAGTGCCGGGAGGAGCGGCGCACGGTGGCCCGCCTCGACACGGAGATCGGGGAGAGGGAGCTCGAGATCCAGGCGAAGCGCGAGGAGATGGAGGCGGACGCGGAGCGGTCGGACCTCGAGCTCCGGGGCGACGGCGCGGTGCGCGCCGTCGACGCGAACCGGCTGGCCATGGAGGCGCGGCTCCTCGAGAGCGCCGTGACGCAGCTGCGCTGGCAGAAGGAGCGGAGCGAGCAGCTGGAGGCGGAGAACGGCGAGCTCCGGGACGAGTTCGCGAGTTTGGACGCGGAGCGCGCGAAACGAGGCGCGGACCACGGCGAGCGCATGCACGAGGCGAAGAAGGAGATGCTCCAGCTGAGGCACCAGCTCGAGCTCGCCTTCAAGCGCGCCCTCAACGACAAGGCCCTCCTCCACTACGAGGCGGCCTTCTCGGCGCTCGACCCCCGGGAGAAGGAGTCGCTGCTCCAGAACGCGCAGCTCCGCGAGGAGCTGAGCCTCCAGCGCACGGGCCTGGACGCCGTCGGCCGGCGCGTCGCCGAGGAGCGCGTCGAGCTCGCGGAGCTCCTCGGCGACGTGCGGCGCCTCAAGGACGAGGAGTCCGCGCGCGCCGTCGCCGCCGCCAAGCTCCGGCACGCGCGCGACGCGGCCAAGTCGCTCGCGAAGCGCCTCGCCGCGTCCCTCGAGGCCCTCCAGGCCGCGCGGGAGGAGAGCGTGGCCCGGTCCCTGGACGTGCTGCCCGAGTTCTCCGAGGAGACGGTCCGGGGCTTCCGCGACAAGGAGGACGACGAGTCGACCGTCGCGTCCGCTCAGTCCGTCGCCGAGCTCCCGAAGCCGACGCGGTCGAGCGAGCGCTTATCGCTGGCGGGCCTCGACAACGCGCCCCTCCCGGGCGGCTTCAAGCCGTCGCCGGGCGACGAGGCCGTGAGCCGGGGGCTGGGGTTGATCCACGTCGCCATCTGTGCCGAATTCAACCGCTGGTTCGGGGGGTCCTGACCAAACTTGAGAATGCTCTAGCTCGGTCAAATCGAAGTCGATTCGGCTGATTTTTGGACGAATCGATTGCTCTCGTCGAGTTCTCGAAGCCCAGCTGAAGAGATTGCGTCGAAACATTCGCGTACGCTCACATCTAATCCGGGTTGAAGATTTGAATTCGGCACAGGTCGCCATCGCGCAGCGCGAGCGCCACCTCCGCGACGCGGAGGCGCTCTGCCGCAAGTGGGCGAAGCGGGCGGCGGCGCTGCGCACGGTCGCGCTCGACGTGCGCCGCGGCGGCCGGCGGCCGCCGACGGCGTCCGACGGCGCGCCGCGGCCGCCGTCGCAGAAGCTGTCGCGGGAAGAGGAGGCCGCCGTCGACTACGCGCGCAAGTCGCTCGACGCGCACGACGACACCTTCCCGGACGTGACCCTCGACTCGCGCCTCTTCAAGGCGACGATCCGCGCCTGGGAGGACCAGGACGGCGATTTGGCGCGCCTCGCGCCCGTCGACCCCGACTCGCCGTTCGACACGATCGGCGCCATCGCCGCGTCCGACGGCAAGCCCGCGGCGTCCCACGCGCGGGCCACGGGCGGCCGCGACGAGAAACGGCGCGCCGCGCCGGCGCCGTCCGCGGCGCCGCCGCGGCGCCGGTCGCCGAGCCGCCGGAGCCGCCGGTCGAAATCCGACGCCGCGCTCCTCGGCGGCGGCGGCCCCGGCGGCGCGAAAGCGACCAAGTCGACGCCGACCCTGCCGCCCCTCTCCAAGCTTTTTACGGATGAGTCGACGACGGCGCCCCAAAGGCGCGGCTCCCTCCGGCAGAGCTCGTCCGCGAACGCGCGGTCCCGCGAGGCCGCGCGCGTTCTCGCGAAGCCGCCCGCGCCGTTGCCGAAGAAGGCGGCCGCGACGCTCGCCGTCGCGCAGCTCAAGGCGCTCCGCGCGCTCGCGAAGATCGAGCTCCAGCAGAGCCGGAGCGACGGCGCGCTCCGCGGGCGCCGGTCCATGCCGGGAGTCCTCGGCTTCGGGTAACGTCTTTTTAAGCGAGGCGCGACGCGACGGCGGCGACGACCTTGGCCGTCTCGGCGGCGTCGTCGCAGGCGAGGAGGTCGTGGCCGCAGTCGACGGCGAGGTGCCGGTAGTCCCCGGCGACGTAGGCCGCCGTCGCGCGCGCGTAGGCGTCGTCGCAGAGGATCGCGGCGTCGGACGTGCCGCAGACGTAGAGCGCGTCGACGGCGACGGCGCCCGTCGGCGTCTTCTGCGGCGCGCCGCCGTCCTCGGGCAGCTCGAACAGGCCCCGGAGCGCCGCCGCGGCGAAGGCGCCGTGCTCCAGGAGGAACGCCGCGGAGAAGACGGGCGGCATGGCCATGACCCCGGCGTCGAAGGCGCCGTTGTACCACCAGAGCGCGCGCTGGAACTCACTTTCGGACTCGAACGAGCCCATCGCGGGCGTCGGGTCCGCGCCGGCCATGGCGTGGTAGTAGAAGCCGAAGTGCAGCGACGCGCTGTTGTTGAGCACGAAGGTCGTGAAGTACTGCGAGGCCATCTGCTGCTCGAGGTCCGCGGTTTCGCCGTAAAGCCCGGCGGAGAACGCGTCGGGGTGCGGGATGGACAGCGACGTGTAGCTCCGGAGCAGCGCCGGGTGGGTCGCGGCGATGGTCCATCCGAGGAGCGCGCCGTGGTCGTGGCCGACGAGGTGGAACGTCGCGGTCGCGCCAAAGGCCGCCGCGGCGACGGCGACGGCGTCCGCCGCGAGCGTCGGGTAAAAGTAGGCCGCCTCGTCGGACGGGCGCGCGCCGGGGCTGTAGCCCCGCTGGTTGCAGGCGACGCTCCGGTAGCCTTTGGCCGCGAGGGTCTCCATGAGGCCCGCGTACACTCCGGGAAGCCGTGGAGGAGCAGGACGCCGGTGCCGTTGGCCGGGCCGGCGGTCCGGCAGCGGAACACGAGGCCGTTGGCGGCGATGGTCCCGCAGGCGATGGCGCCGCCGCAGGCGCCGTCCGTCGCATTGGCGGTAAGGGCCGATGCGGCGGCCAGGGCCGGGAGGAGGAACCGAAGGCTGCCCATCGTTCGGAGCTGTCTTTTGCCAATGTTGAGCCTCAACCTGAGGGAAATGTGCGGCAGCCAAGCTGAGCAAAGGCGTCGCGCGCGCCGCGCCGCACGCTGCAAACGCAGCGCATTGCAAATGACCACCTTCACACCGACCGAGCTCTTCGGCGGCGCCATGTCCGCGCAGCTGCCGGCGAGTTGGCAGGACATGAACGACCTCGGCCATCCCGTGCCCGACAACCAGGAGGTCTGGTGCGAGCGCGCCGGCGGCGAAGGAGGATCGCTCGTGATCGAGATCGTCGAGCGCGCGGACGTCGACGACGCCGCTGCGCCGGCGTACTTCTGGAACGACATCGCGGACGCGTCCGGCGCGAGCGCGCGAGAGCTCGTCGCCGCGGGCCCCGCCGCCGCCGCCGCCATGGACGGCGTCGCGTGCGTCGTCGCGCTCGGCCACATGAAACTCGCCAAGACGGGCGTCGTCGGGCCGGACCACGGCGTCGACGTCGCCGTCGCCGCGTTCCGCTTCCCGGCCGAGGCGACGGACGTGCTCGCGACGTTTCACGCGCCCGCGCTCGGCGGCACGCGCCTCGCGCCGAAGCCCCTCGACGAGCTCCTCGCGACGCCGGCATTGGCGCCGCTGCGGGACGTGCTCCGCACGCTCGTCGTCGACCGGGGACTCTTCTCCTAAGTAGCGGGGACTCTTCTCCTAATTAGACCTGCGCGGGCGCGCCGGCCGGCTGCTGCGCGCGGATGAGGCCGCCGAAGACCTTCTGCTCCGTGTCGCCGTCGTCGTACTTGACGTCGTAGGTGCCGTCGCGCCGCGCCCGCGTGATCTGGCCCGGGTACCAGTCCGCGCCGCCCTCCCAGAGCACGTCGACGAGGTCGCCCACGGCCCACTTGTTCGCGTCGTCCTGCTTTTCCTCCGCCTTCTTCTTCTTCGCCTTCTTCGCCGGCGGCGCGTCTTCCGCGGCGAATGTCAGCTTCTTCTTCGACGCGGGCGGGCCCTCCGCGTCCGCCTCCGCCGCGTTGGCCTCGGCGACTCGCAGCGCGACGGGTTCGTTGATCGCGCGCACGAGGACCGTCTCCGTCGGCATGCAGCGCTGCTCGCAGAAGTAGCAGGAGCTCCGCGCGTTCATGGCTAATGTCGCATCGTCGTCGAATGTGAGGGGTTCGTCCTGGCAGTACGGGCAGAGGACGCCTTGCGACTTGATCGCCCAGGCCAACACCTTGTCGAAATTCGTCGAGGGTTTTTGGTGGCGCCGCTGCGCCGACGCGCCCCAGGACTGGCGTTCTCCGGGGGCGGCCGTCGAGAATTTGATGCTATTGGAGCTCATCTGTTGTGCGAGCGCTCGGTTAGGCTCAGGTAAAAAGTCGGCGATCCGATCGCCACAACAAGAGCGGAGACAGGCTCGTCGACGACTGAGGGAAGAGACCATGGACCCGGAACTGATCAAGAAGCAGCGAGAGTACGAGGCGCGAAAGCACCGTACAAAGCTGGCGCTCAACATATGCACGATTTGCGGGAAGAAGGATGCCCGGCCCTGTAAAGGTTGCGGCACGACATCATACTGCTCGACGGACTGTCAAAGAATTGATTGGCGCGACCGCGGGCACCGGAAGGCGTGCAAAAAAGTCCAAGCGGAGCGGGAGGAGGCGAAGCGGGCCGAGGCCCCGCCGCCGCCGCGCGACGTCTTCTACGGCCCCGCGCCGCGGTCGCACGCCGACGAGATCCGCGCGCGCATCGCCGCCGAGCACGAGGCCGCCCGCGTGCGGCGCGAGGCGAACCCGGAGCCGGTGCCGTCGTCGCGGGTCGGGTCGCGGTGCCCGATCTGCTTCGAGGACTGGGACGTGAATCTTTCGCACGAGCTTCAGAGCTGTTGCTGCCGGGCGATCTGCACGTCGTGCTTTAGAAAGATCGACCGCAAGACGTGTCCTCTTTGTCGCTCGCCGCCTCCAAAATCCGAAGCGGAGCGTCTGGCAAGATTTCGCCGCCACGCGGAGAACGAGGTTCCGGAAGCTCTTGTGCATTTAGGCGATGCGTATTGCCAAGGATGGTACGGCTTCGTGAAATCCGGGAAGAAGGCCGCGAAGCTTTACCGGCGCGCCATGGAGGCTGGGTCCGAGGGTGGGATTGCTCATCTTGGTTTTCAGTACGAGATTGGAGACGGTGTCAAGCTAGACAAGAAAAAAGCAACGCAGTTATATCGCCTCGCCGCGGAACGAGGCTACACCATGGCGCAATTCAACCTTGCGAACATGCTTTACAGCGATGATAAAGAGGGCGCCGCCCACTTCTTCAAGCTCAGTGCGGAGAAAGGATTGACCCAGGCTCAGCACAATTACGCGGTGCTATGCGAGACAGGTTCTGGCGTGGAACGCGATCTCGACAAAGCCAAATTTTGGTTTTCGCGCGCGGCCGCCAAGGGCCACGAGCCCGCCATGCGCGAGATGGAAAAGTACGCCTAGAGCATCGTCCCGCCACTAAACGTCAACAGTAGTAGTATATACACGACGCAACAAGGGGCCTCAGGGCTTGCGCAGGACCGCGCGGAGGCCGCGCGCGCGGACGTCCGCGGCGACCGCGTGCGTCGCGGCGACGAGGGCGTCCCAGGCCGCGACGTCGTCGCCGAAGACGAGGCCGAGGAAGGTGCGCATCTCCGTGGCGTCGGCGGCGTCGAGCGCGTGGCGCAGGAGCCAGCCGCGGCCGCTCGCGGCGAGCGCGTCGCGCCGCGGGTCCGCGAGCGCGAACCGCTGGCCCATCTCGTCGACCTCGGCGAAGGAGAGGAGGAAGCAGGCGAGGGCCAGGGCGACGCGGGGCGGCGGCGCGGCCTCGTCCGCCGCGCGCATGGCGCGGAGCGCGTGCGCGAGCGTCGAGTTGAACTTTTGGGAGCCGTCGGACGCCAAGCGCGCGAGCGTGTCGGCGATCTTGGGGTTCTTGAAGCGGTCGACGAGCTTCGCCTGGTACGCCTCGATGTCGACGCCGGGCACGGGGCCGAGCGTCGCCGCGACCTGGCGCATGTAGGCCGCGAGGAAGCCCGCGACGTCCGGGTCCGCCAGCGACGCGTGCACGAGCCGGTGGCCCAGGAGCAGCCCCACGGCCGCGAGGGCGCTGTGGCCGCTGTTGAGCAGGCGCAGCTTCATGGTCTCGTAGGGCTCGACGTCGCCGACGAAGAGCACGGACTCGTCGTCGTCGCCGCCGCCGAACGCGCGATCCCAGTCGGGCCGGCCGGCGACGAAGGCGTCCTCGACGACCCACTGCGCGAAGCGCTCGGAGACGACGGGCCAGGCGTCGCGCACGCCGAACTCGTCGGCCAGCTGCGCGCGGTGCGCGTCCTCCGTCGCCGGCGTGATGCGGTCGACCATCGAATTCGGGAACGTCGCGGCCGCGGCGATCCACGCGGCCAGGTCGGCGTCGCAGGCGGCCGCGAAGCGGAGCGTCGACCGCTTGCACAGGTCGCCGTTGAGGGGCAGGTTGTCGCAGGAGAGGACCGTCACCGCCGGCAGGCCCGCGGACCGCCGCCGCTGGAGCACCTGTGTGCAAATCAAATCTTCAACCCGACTTCAATGTGCGCGTAATTGAACGGAGTGCGCCGGACTCTTCGGCTGAGCTTCGAGAACTCGACGAGAGCAATCGATTCGTCCAAAAATCAGCCGAATCGACTTCGATTTGATCGAGATAGAGAGTTCTGAAGTTTGGTGGGGACCCCCCAAACCAGTGGTTGATTTCCACACTGTGGAGCACGGCGCAGATGAACCCAAAGGCCGTCCGCGGCTTCTCGAGGCGCCCCGCGGACCGCCAGTCGTCGACGTCGCGCGCGACGAGCGCCGCGCCCAGGTCCAGGTCGCCCGTCGCGACGTCCTGGTAGTAGCCCTTCTCCGTCACCGTCAGCGAGACGATCTTCAACCTCGCGTCCACGGCCAGCGCCTCGAACGCGGCGCCGTCCTCGGGCACGAAGACGAACTCCGTGATGGCCTCGACGACGCGCGCCGTCGACGCCTCGGCGTCCTGCATCACCAGGGTGTAGAGCATGTCCTGGCGGCGCAGCGCCGCGCACATCTTCGCGTCCCAGGGCATCAAGCCGACGCCCGTGATGCCCCAGGGCGCCGGCGACGACCGGAGCAGCCGGTCCGTCGCGTAGGTCAGGTGGCTCCGGCTGAAGCCGCCGACGCCGACGTGGGCGATGACGTTCGCGATGTCCGGCGGCCGCTCCGGCGGCAGGTCGAGCCGCGAGCCCGCGGCCGCGGCGAACGCGGCCGCGGCCGCGAGCGCGCCGCGGCCGAGCGGCGCGGCCTCGACGTGCTCCAGCACGACGTCCGGCGGCCGCTCCGCGGGCGGCTTCACGGGGCCGTCGTCGTCCGCGGGCGCGGGCGCCTTCGTCGGCGACTCGTCGGCCCTGGGCTCCGTGACGGCCGCGACCTCGCCTTTCGAGCCCTTCGTCGCGCCCGTGCGCCAGGACCGGTACTCCTTGCGGTACTTCTCCATGGCGGCCCGCAGGGCGTCGGGGTCGAGGAGGTGGGGCGCGCGGCAGTGCGGGCACGCGGCAATGTCGTGCGACGCGCACCGCTTCAGGCAGCCGCCGCAGAACGCGTGGCCGCACCGTAGTCGGATCGCCTCGTACTTCGTCGTGAAGCAGATCGTGCACTCCATGCCCACGGCGGGCGTCTGCTTATTTGGGTTTCCCGCGCCGCCGCCGAAGACGTCGAGGTCGGGCCCCAGGGGGACGTCGTCGGCCATGCTTGCGGAGGGCGGAGGTGTTGGCGAACGTGGGATGGTCGTTTCGGTGTCGCGTATGGTCGCTCTGCACACGACCGTGGGACGCCGGAGGCGTACGGCGTAAGACGCGACGCGTTTCGGGTCGCGCAGCTGGGCGCTCCTTCTCAAGTCCTCCACGTCGAAAGTGCGGGCCAAGATGCGCCCGCCGACACCCTTGACGTCGTCCGGGCGCGAGTACGACGCGTGCACGCGGTTACTTTGGGAGCGAGGGTTGATCGATCGAGGGGCCTCTGCCGTCAGAAGAAGAGGTCGCTGCTGTTGGAGATGTCCCGGTTCAGGGAGAGGGACCGGTCGAAGTCCGGGAGGAACGACGCGACGGCGTCCGCGGAGTCGCTCCGGGACAGCGTCGACGCGACGCGCGGCGGCAGGCCGCTGTCCGTGCGCGAGAGGCGCGACGTCGTGCGCGGGAGCGGGTCGTCGCGGTCCTGCTTGACGGCGATGCGCAGCGCCGCGCGGAGGCCCTCGGCGGACACGAGGCCGTTGGCCGCGGCGACGGCGTCGACGAGCGCGGCCCACGACGCGACCGCGTCGCCGAAGACCAGCGACAGGAAGTCCTTGGCGCCGCCGGCGTCGCCGGCGACGGCCTTCCGCGCCGGTTCCGCGAGCTCGCCCTTCCGCGGGTCCTCGAGCGGGTACGCGGCGCCCCGCTCGTCGACCTGCGTCGCGCAGGCCCGGAGGAAGCACGCGAGCGCGAGGGCGACGAGCGTCGGCGCGCGCGTCGGCTGCTCGCGGCGGAGCACGAGCAGCGCGTGCTCGAGCGTCGACTTGAACTTCTGGGACCCGTCGGAGGCCAGCCGCGCGAGCGTGTCGGCGATCGTCGGGTTCGCGAAGCGGTCGATGAGCTTCGCCTGGTAGCGCGCGAGGTCCACGCCGGGCACGGGGCCGAGCGTGCGCGCGACCTGGCGCATGTAGGCGCCGAGGAAGCCGAGGACGTCCGGGTCCGCGAGGCTCAGGTGGACGAGCCGGTGGCCCAGGAGCAGCCCGACGGCCGCGAGCGCGCTGTGGCCGCTGTTGAGCAATCGGAGCTTCATGGTCTCGTAGGGCTCGACGTCCTCGACGAAGAGCACGGACTCGTCCTCGTTGTCGTCGCCGAAGGCGGCGTCCCAGTCCGGCCGCCCGGCGACGAAGGCGTCCTCGACGACCCACTGCGCGAAGCGCTCGGAGACGACGGGCCACGCGTCCCGCACCCCGAAATCCGCCGCGAGCGCGTCGCGGTGCGCGTCCTCCGTCGCCGGCGTGATGCGGTCGACCATGGAGTTGGGGAACGTCGCGTGCCGGTCGATCCACTTCGCCAACTCCGCGTCGCAGGCCGCCGCGAAGCGCAGCGTCGCCCGCCGGCACAGGTCGCCGTTGAGCGGCAGGTTGTCGCAGGAGAGCACGGTCACCGCCGGCAGGCCCGCGGACCGCCGCCGCTGGAGCACGGCGCAGATGAAGCCGAAGGCCGTGCGCGGCTTCTGCAGGCTCCCGGCGTAGTGCCACTCAGACACGTCCTGCTTGATCAGCGCGTTCCGCAGGTCGAGGTCGCCCGTCGCGACGTCCTGGTAGTAGCCCTTCTCCGTCACCGTCAGCGAGATGATCTTGAGGCGCGGGTCCGAAGCGAGCGTCTCGAAGGCGCGCGTGTCCTCGGGCACGAAGACGAAGTCCGTGATGGCCTCGACGACGCGCGCGGATTTCGCCGCGTCGTCCTGCATGACGAGCGTGTAGAGCATGTCCTGGTCCCGGAGCGTCTTGCACATCTTCGCGTCCCAGGGCATCAGGCCGACGCCCGTGATGCCCCAGGGCGCCGGCGACGACCGGAGCAGCCGGTCCGTCGCGTACGAGAGGTGGCTCCGGCTGAAGCCGCCGACGCCGACGTGCGCGATGACGCGCGCGATGGCCGGCGGCGCCTTGGGCGGCACGGCGATCTCCACGTCCGCGCCGTCGAGGGAGCGCACGAGGCCGCTGAGGGCCGCGCGCCGGAGCGCGAACTGGGACCGATGGTCGTCCTCCTTGACCTCGTCGTCCTTGACCTCGTCGAAGGAGTCGCCGCGGCGCGGCGCGGCGTTCGTCGGCGGCGCCATGGCGGTCGACGGCTCTCGACGAGGTCGTGGAACCCGTCCGCCCTTGCGCTGGTGCCTCTGGCGGTAAAGGGACGGACGCTCGTTGCGGTGGCGAGGTCGCGACGTTGAGAGAACCAATGCACGCACTAAAGTTTGGTGAAGTTCCGCGCGTCGCCTGGGGCTCGCGCCGGCCTCGGGCAGGCTCTCTCTCTAGCGCATTAGGCGACACACCCCGCCTACGCGCAGGCTCCTGAGAATGCGGCGTGGTGCACGGGCCTGGCGTAGCTGACGGCTCCCGCACCTANG